CAAAATTGCTTTACATGTTCAAATTTCACAATTCTACTATCTCTATTTCATAGATTCTGATTTCTTTTTTAAACGGCCATTTATTGGGGGTGATGTGAACAGAGAAAAAAATAGACCCATTTGTTTAAGTGGATAGACGAGGCACTACTTGAGGAGATAAAAATGGTAGATGCCAAGCATCTGGATGTACTACACGACTTGCAAGCACTTACCGAAAAGATGAATATCCAGCTTGAGTCTCAGCGTTCATGGTTCTTGGGTACGGCTGAAGAGATGCGGAAGGAAATGAACGAAAACATGCTGAACCTGACTAAGTCGCTAGATGAGGCAACAAATAAGATGAAAGAACAAATTGATGCACATTTCAATGCTCACATCTACTCAAAGACAGCAGTTGCAGTCACAATCTTGGGAGCTATGACTTACCTCTATTGGAAGCTCCTATAAAACTACCAAACTCACCTATACAAGATATGACTTATGTTGTTCCACTGCTTGTTCTTAAGTTGCTGATTAGCTCTTCTACTTTTATTAGTTCTTCAGTGTTCTTCTTGAAAAAATGTCTTCTTCTCATGTTGTTGCACTGTTGTGTTTGTTGGATTGGAGGGATTAAAACAAGATCTTTGTTTTCGTTCTTTTCTTGTTGCTCATTTATGGTTGAGTAGGAATTATTATGATCAATGGTTGTTCCACAAATAAATTACTCTGGCAAGAGTCACTAATCTCTATATTGTCACCCTACAATTCTCTTCATTACACCAGAACATAAAGCAGTTGCAAACAAAACATTCAATTCAACAAGAGTATTTATGTAACAAGCAAAAATATTGTCTCAGCAAAACACATTACTCAAATATCCTCTCAGCAAAGCAAAACAAAACAAAACAAATCCTCGAATCAAACTCCATAACAAACATCCTTCCACGAAAAAGCCGTCCACGTTAATCCCGTCCACGAATTCATCAAAACCCTCCACAAATCCGTCTAGATTGGGTTTGTGCAGCTGCTACGGTTATGCCCTTCAATACGACACCTACCACACTTGTTCGGAACCTGCTTCGTCTTTTTGGTTACCTGAATAAACCACTTGTGTTCATCAACAATGCATTTTCAAAAGCTAAAAAAGTTTATCTACAGATAATAACCTTACCGGGAATTCACCAATCGAGGGAATCCTATTTTTCCTCCTGCGACCTGGTTGTCTCTTTGTCACAGGGGCATCAAGACCATCCTCCTCACCTCCTCAGGGATATCCACATCACGAGGATCTCCTTCTTGACTTATTACCCCAGCATATGTCTTCCTCCATGTTAATGTCTTATAACAATGACCAACCAAAGTCTCGTAAGGGACTCCCAAACTGTCTGCAGCAATGAGAGCATGTCCATAGGGGATTTTGATCTTATCAAAATACTTGCAACTACACTGCTTATTGGCGAGATTCACCCTTTCCTTACGATCAAACTTGCCTAAAATTTCACAACTCCATTTAGTAGAAGAATTCACTTTACTCCCCTTCATGGTTGCCATATTCTTTGTCATCTCCTTATCCACCTCCACACTAACCATACCCATGTGATTACCGGCCTTCTTTCTCCTTGCACAGAACCACCTTGTCATCATTCTTTGAATAAAATGACCAACTCCATTATAGGTGACGTTCTCCCCTCCCCAAGGGCATGGTTTAACTGCTCTGCTATGTTACTAGTCATGATGTTATAGCGTTCCCCATGAAAGTTCGCCCTTGTCCAATGCGCAACACCAATCTTACCCAAATAAACACCACACTCGCTTCTCTGCGCCCTTACTTTGCTATATAGATCCCTATAATCTCCTTGACGATAAGCCATTGCAGTCAAAGTCACCATTTTTGCTAAGTTTTTGCTTGAGAACCGTGAGTTGACGTTTTTAGCCAAATGAACTATGCAATACCCGTGATTAACAGAAGGATACACACGTTTCACAGCTGTTGCAATGCTTGTTGCACGGTCAGATATTATCGCAAGACTACTTGAATCAGCTAATATCCTCTCCAACTTCATCAAGAACCAAGTCCATGATTCTTCATCTTCACTATCCACAATAGCATATGCTAGAGGGAAAATCTTAAAATTTGCATCTTGTCCGCTTGCCGTGAGCAACACACCTTTGTACTTACCACCTAAGTGTGTTCCATCTACAACCAGCACACGACGTAGTTTCTTAAAACCTTCTATAGAAGCACCAAAGGCAAGAAACAGATAAAGGAACCGCTCATCGCCGTCCTCATCAACCTCTGTCTCAATATCAGCAAACGTCCCAAGATTTGCAAGTTTTAACATGTGCAAATACTCAGGAAGTTTCAAATACGAATCTTCTTCAGAACCAAAATTTCCGATCACAGCTGCCTCTTTTGCTCTATAGCATTTCATGTAAGAAGCAGTCACACGAAGATCTTCTAGCAAAAGCTTCTGCAATTCAGACGGCACTGGACCCTTCCCAGGAACACCAAACTTCGATTTGTAAACAGCCGCAATCACCCGTGAAGTTGCTTTACTCTCATATCCCTGCCTAAACTCTATTGGACAGGTATGATCAAGTTGAGCTTTTCGTATCTCGTAATACCCACAACCCCTAACTTCATGAGCTGTTACACGCCAATCACACCTTGTATCAGGGCACTCGCATACAAATGAATCAACTTTGGTCCTAGTTTGCTTGAAGTGAAACTGGTTCCTTATAGCGTAAATAGCAAGAGATATTTGACAATCTTGTTTGTTACCAAACACCTTGCCCACATAGATCCTTTCATCACCTTCCTTCAAGTCCATATCTGGTATCTCTGCTGCAGCATAGCTTGTATAATCAAAAAGTGGTGGTATGTCAAACTCTTCATCATCTACTTCATCCAGCTTTCTTGTTTTAAATCGCGGACTGCTGTCCACACGTGGATTACTGTCGTCCACTCCCGTCCATTCCCATCCACGGATCATAGTATCCTCCAATCCTTGTGTGTTTGTCAGCACAATTATCACTTTTGACGTTGCTTGGACCACCAAGTTCCACTACATTGTCTAAACCACCGTTTGTGGTGCCATTGTATCGGTATGGACCACTTTTCCTTTTCAATTCCTCCACAATCTCATCCTCATTGTAGATAACATTTACAGCATTTGATCCACAGTAGTCGCCTGTTAGTAGTGGACTCCAGAACTCTTTGTCATACCCTCGAGGTCTCACGTCTCTGTCATCAACGGCTTCCAAAACATCATCTTCACATACACTGCTACTGCTTACTACTCCTTCCTTTCCGTCCCCACTACCATCCTTTATCTCTTCCTCAACCATCTATTTATCATACCCTTCAGATCTCACGCCTCTTTCTACATCACTTCCAAACTCAACATCCTCAAGATTCACAACAACAGCTTTTCTAGACTCTTTTGTAGTTTCTTCTCCACCTTTTTTGGAAACTTCTTTTGGACCCTCTGTTGAAGTCTTCTTTGGCAAGGAGTTAAAGACTCTGTTCATGTCTCTTTGTTGAAGACTCTGTTGAAGTTTCGAAGAAACAGAGCTAACATTTGGTTTTAAAGGCGAAGGAGTAACAAATCCCATTCCCGTATCATCAACGCTCCTATCAAATTTAACAAACATATTCATAGCTCCTTTCACTCTCAAGTGCTGCAGGAAGTATCTTATGGCTCCATCACTTGTTAATAGTACCGGCGGTGTCTTTATCCCCGTCACAAGCTCCAAGCTGCTCGGCGGCCAGTAGCTAAGCGCAGCCACAAACAAACCCTCGTCGACACCAAACTCACGCAAGACGTTGCCTTGAAGCTCTCTCAAACTTATTCCGTCGTGCAGAGGTACAAGCCGCGACATCTGACATTTGTCAAGAACGAAATCCCACTTCCCACCGTTATCGCAACTCCATTCACCACACATGACCATGCAGTGGTCCTCCATTGCAACGAACTGCAAAAAACATTCAACAAACAAACTCAGTATACCGAATAAAAGTCAAGAAACCATCGATAACATTTATGGAACACAAATCTTGGCCAAAATCTCACCTCCAAATTATCCAAAGAACAACCTCGGAAGAGAAGACAAAAAACGTTGTTGTACAAACAGCTCCCCAATACCAGACACAATAAATTCACGTCATTGTCTTACTCAGGTTCCTCAAATTCTGACCTTTGATTTCAAAATACAAATCAACATCCAACGGTTAAGAAGATGACACAAAAATCCATAAACCTATAAAGTAATCGTGGTTTAAAGGAGACAAATGAACCACACATAATAACCAATTGTCCTTTCCGATTTGGTTTGTTCGCTAGCATAAGGTTACTATAGTTTTTCTCATGTGTCGAGACAAAGGAGAAGTATGAGGAAAGTGCCCCACATGTGCATTGTGTCTTCCTGTGTAAGATAAACACAAATTGTGTCCTTTAGTGTAACCAATTCTAATAAATAAAAGAAAACTTGGTTCTAACTGATGTTAGCCTAGGGACGAGCCGACGAGGTAATATTCGCACTTATAGTAGTGAAGCTTTTCTTAACGTAACCAGACGTCTATGTTTACAAACGCATTAATGTAACATTAGTCCCTCATAACTCATATGTCTTGACATAAAACTTCATCGGCATGACTCTAAAGCAGCTTCCATTACTAGCTTTTACTACTCTTCCTTTCCTTTATTTCTCATCTTCATCGCTTTGACTTTTGATGTCATTACATATCCTCTTACATCAAATGAATTAACTCTACTGAACTGAAGCATCATATTCATACTTGTCCAAAAACCGTCTGGAAACGGAACAAGTTCTTAATTAGTTACTCATATTGTATGTTCCATTCCACACGGAACACAAAACACAATTCCATTTCGATATATTAAACAATCTCCACAGCACAGAGATGTGGCTACTGCAAAACCACTAAGAAAAAAAGAGATAAAAAGAAAAAAAAAAAAAAAATATATATATATATATATATATATATATATATATATATTATGGGATATAGTTTAGTTTATACACAAAACATTAGAACATATTTTTTTGTTATGTGATTAATTATAATTTTCGGTATGTTATCTCTCCAAATATTTTTCTATACAAATTATGAAAAAAACGAAAATAAAATCGAATGCCACATTCCTCCTCATCTAGGAGCATATGACACGGTGATATCCGTTGGCCGTTTCACACCCGCCGACCATTTCTCCGACTCCAAATACAATTGCGATATTTTTCCGGCGACTCTTCCCATCTCCGGCCTGTTCACCGCCTCATCCTCCACACACTCCAACGCCAGCCTCATCAACTTCTCCACAACCGTCACCGGAAACGAATCCCCCAATCTCCGATCCACCCACCTCCTCAACCTTCCCTCCACATCACCACCATCAACCACCTCTTTCGCCGTCTCAATCACCGAACTCCGCTCGAAATCTCCTGTTAACCTCTCATACCTATACTTCAACGGCTCCTCCCCTGAGAGAAGCTCAAGCAACATAACTCCAAAAGCAAACACGTCTGATTTCTGAGTAGCGACCCCGGAAGCTTGAAACTCCGGCGACATGTATCCCCTCACTCCCTCGAATCTAACGGCTCTCGAATCTCTCGTTCCCTCCGTCGTCTCCCCGCAGAGCTGCGCGGTTCCGAAGTGGCAGATCTTCGCGTTGAAATCCGGCTCCGTCACGATCACCGCCGAGCTCTTTATATGATTGTGTACAAGATTCTCGATCTTTAAACCCGTTTTGTTGTGGATGTAATCGAGTCCGTGAGCTAGATCCGTCGCGATTCGGATCCTCGAGGTCCAACTCGATAAGACCGTGAAGTTAGGGTTCTTAGGGTTTCTTAAACAATCGGCTAGAGAGGCTCCGTTGACGTATTCGTAGACTAAGTAGATGTGATCGGATACAGAGGCGCCGAGGAGATTGATGATGCTTCCGTGGTGGCTACGGCAGATATCTGAGAGACGTTCTTTGAGTTCGTCTTTAGCGATTTTTCGCCGGAATTTTCTTTGGAAGACGACGACCTCTTTCCCGCGTAGAGTGCATCGCCACGAGGCTTTGGAGGAGGAGGAGGAGGAAGATAAGCGGGGAGCGAGGAAGTTGTTGGTGGCGGTGCGGATCTCGGAGATGTCGTATATGTGAGGGTTTTCGGGTAAGGATTGTCGGAGACTAGCGAGGGATGTTCGGCTTGTGATTGATGAAGAGGTGGATGCGGTTTTGTTGGAGTTTGAGCTTGTTGTTGTGTTCGTTGTTGTTGTATCGGTGGTGCTTGTTGACGAAGATCGTTTTGTGGAGTGATGATGTTTTCTTTGCGATCGTGTTCGGGTTGGCTCTGAAGCATTTACGCCCTTTTTGGATTTACACATTCAGACAAAGTTGTTGTTGGAATGTGTGTAGGAGACGTAGAAGATCAGACATAGAGAGGCGAAGACGGAGACCGGCGTAGTATAGTAAACACGGACGGAGATGTGCGCATTATAGCGGGTAAGAAGAAAAGAAAGAGTCCTCTTTCGCTTTTTCATCTCTGTTTGCAATTTATAGAAGTCCTTTCCTTCCTCCTAATTAAAGCTTAACTAGGATAAGATCCGCGTCTTACGTGGAATAAAGCTATTATTTTATTATGTTTTGAGAAATGAAACAACAGTTCGGTTTCATACGGATTAGAGGTGTTCAATCTAGGGATAGGCGTTCGAGTACCCGTTCGGGTTCGGATCGGGTATTTCGGTATTGGGGTTTAGGACCCGTTCGGGTATTTTTACATATCGGGTCGGGTTCGGATATTTTTAGTTCGGGTTAGGTTATTTCGGGTCGGGTTCGGATATTTAGATTTTGAAAAAAAAAATTCAAATTCTTCATTACTTAAGTTTCATATATTTAAAAATTTAACTATCAACTTAACTTTTTTTAAATGATTAATAAGTTGGACGATTAATAAGTTTGAAAATAAATTATTGAAAATAAAATCATTATTTTGGTTGCTATTTTCGAATTTTGGATGCAAATTTTGTTAAAATATGAAATAAGAAGCTTAATATGCATTTTAAATGAGTAACAAATCAATTTTTTTACAATTATATGTATATTATCTGATCTTAAACTATATATAACATTAACTAGGTGTTTTGCCCGCACTTGCGGGCATAACTCTTTTACGAATATTTATTAGTTGATGTTTCATTAATTTATCACTTATGTTTTCAAAAATTACTAATCAAACATCAAATAATTATAAATGACAAAACTCAAACATCAGAAATATTTAAAAGAATATATTTCTATAATTATTTTGCTTGATTTATATTTAATTATAATATTTATATAATTTTTTTACTTAATTCATATTTAAATATAATTTTTCTATCTTAATTTTAAATTTTATAAAAGAAAAAAAAAAATTCAAAATAGCAATATAATGCGTAAGCTATTTATTTTCTAAAAATATAATATGATAAATTCGTTTTAATTATATAAGATTATAGAAATGATGACAAATAATTAAAATTATTTAAAATCATGGAGAACTTAATAAATCAGCATATTCACTTATTAAATAATTTTGTTTGAGTGATGATTTATATTTAAATTATAATAGATAATTTTCTATTTTAATTTTAAATTATATAATATAAATATATATTTTCAAGATGACAACATAATACATAAGAATTACCTTATTTTCTAAAAGTATAATATTATTAGTGTAAATTTATTTTAACTATAGAACAATTACAAATTTTTATATCTTAATTTTAAATTTCTAGTAGAAAAATATATTTTCAAGATAACAACATATTACATAAGAAGTATCTTATTTTAGAAAATATAAAATTATAATTTGTTTTAGTTATATAATAAATATAATAACTTTTATATCTTAATTTAAATTTTAAGTTTTATATATAAAAATATAATACAAGATAACAACATAATTCACAAAAATTATCTTCTTCTCTAAAAATATGCTATATTCATATAAATTCGTTTTTATTAAATAATAAATTTTATATGAAATTATTAAATAAGGTAAATAATCAAATTTACATAAAATTAAGGAGAAGTTGACAACTAAGCAAAATTACTTCTTAAAAATTTGTTTTAGTTATATAATAAATATAAGAATTTTATATCTTAATTTAAATTTTAAGTTTTATATATAAAAATATAGTTCAAGATAACAACATAATTCACAAGAATTATCTTCTTTTCTAAAAATATGCTATATTCATATAAATTCGTTTTTATTAAATAATAAATTATATATGAAATTATTTAAATAAGGTAAATAATCAAATTTACCTAAAATTAAGGAGAAATTGACAACTAAGCAAAATTACTTTTTAAATAATGTTATAGATATAGATATTTTTAATAAAATTGAGACAAATAAACTAGGAATAAATAGGTATATATATACATGTTCGGTTATCTTCGGATACCCGTTCAGGTATTACCCGTTCGGGTTCGGATATCCAAACTCCCTTAACTCAATACCCGTTCGGATATTTTGCTACTTCGATTCGGATTTCGGTTCGGATATTTCGGGTCGGGTTCAGGTACGAGTTCGGGTATCGGGTAAAGTGCCCACCCCTAGTTCAATCCGGATATCGAGTTTCGGTTCGGCTTGATTTTTTGATATTTCGATTATTAAAATATAACTACTATTCTAAATCTATATGTACTTCAGTTTGATTTGGTTTATATACCATCGGTTTTCAATTTATTCAATTTTATACCAAAAAACATAATTATTTAGTTTGAGATCATATTATATATTATACAAATATATAATATGATCATATTTAGAGTCATATTGTCACATAATCATTTATTAAAAAAATATTATATATTTAAATAAAAGAATAAAAAACAAAAAAGACTTCTATCATCTAATAAAATGATCAAATCTAGAATTAATATCAAAACACTAAATTTTGAAAATAAAAATAAAAAACAAAACAGAAGCATGAAAGAAAAGTTTTTATATTCTTCCATATTTAGTGTTCATCAAACCAATATGTCTTCGATTGAACACAACTCTGTTTGTTTAAAGATAAAAAAAAGTTGTAAAGAATTTCAGCTAATTGTTGTCCATTAAATTTATAATATTTACTTCAATTTAGTTACTGTTAAAAAAAACAAAAGATCAAAATAAGAAGTCTCAGTTGTAATAAATTGTTAGCTATTTACAAATTAGAATTGTATATAGTTCAACTCATGTAACAAATAGATATTCATGCGTCGTTATAAATATATACATATTTACATGTTTCAGTTTAATCGGTTATAAATCAAACCATATCCAAATCCTATGGTTTTTATAAAATTCATCCATTCGGTTTGTATGGTATATACCACAAATAACTATATTATCGATTGTTAATATCTTTTACAAATATAAAATTTAAAAAAAAGAACTAAGATGTTTAAATCATTGATAACAAAAAATTTTCATTGTGAAAAATTTAATAAGTTTATAATTTATAAATGTTCTTGAAAATTTATTGAAAATTTTGAAATTAAAATATTTATGTAATCTTATATGGTATATAGTTTAATCTGTATATATATTTTTTTATTATTGAATGATACTTTTTACTTATATGGTTTTAAAGTCATGTATACCTTTTTATAATAAAAATGTTAAACTATTGATCATTAATTTTTAACATAATAATTTTAATAGTTTAGTTATGTATTATCATCTTTTAAAATTCAAAATATAACCTATACGAAAAAATCTAAAGTTTAATTTTATAGCTAATTTGATTGCTTAATTTATTTTAATAATATAAAATTAAAGAAAAATGATGGAGGATATATAAACTGTTATCAAATATTTATTATTAGAATCATTAAGTGTCATATATATATATATATTAGTCATTTATGGTAATTCCGTAGGTTTTATCTATGGAAAGAAAATAAAATAGTAATTATATCTAGGGGAACAATCATAAATGCTTCTATCATAAATATCATATCATATAATTTGACCAACGAATGTATCTAGCGACATATAAAAATCGAATGTGACCTACTTATTTTTCAATTGAATGTAATTGATTACCTAGTAACACCTAAGCATGAGATCTTTTTTAATTATTACAAAATTGAGGTTACAATTTTTTAAATGTTTCTATATATAAGGGATTCGGACTTAAAACTTAGATAAATACGTTAAGTAATAAAAAAACAAATTACTTTAATATATCTTTATGGCATAATAGTAGCTGTAGCGTTCATAGGTTTTAATCGTACTTAGCTAATTAACCTTCCTCTAGGAGAAACTTTTGAGTTGGCCCTAGTGTGGGTGAGGTAAAGAATATGATTGGTTTAGTGATGTACAAATGATATTAACGTTATAGTTTGGTGAGTTTATAGTGTAGACTGTGGCCTACCCACATGTTTTGAAGATTAACAAAATGATCAAGTTCATTAGCTCACAGAGACAAAATAAACGAAGAAGAATCAATTAGCTTTTCAAGATCTATCTTATACGTGTCCATACGAGTCCACTGAGAGAACAAGAGGAGTAAGTTCACGCAAACCGCTCAGATAGATCAACGGATGAAAGCGGCCATGTGGTGATAATTTGAAACAGCACAATTTCAAAAAAAAAAAAAAAAAAAAAAAAAATCTACAGTAAGTAAATTAGTGACGTCCACGATGAGATGGGTGTATGACGATTTCACCTTCCATGGAAATTTATGCAAAAAGATAATTAAGTCGTTCTCGTTCATGTGATTACGGGTGATTGTGATGCAATTGAGATTTTTGGACTTTCCTTTATGTCACATTAAAAAATTAGAACCATACAAATACGCAAATTGTAGAAAGAAGTCGTCTCATGGTTGTTTCCACTCAAATTAATAATCCAAGTAACTCTCATCCGTGATAGGTGTTGTTACCTTCAATTTCTATAAGAAATTTGAAAACTAGAATTGCAGATAATTATTTATCTCATTTTAAATAATCAAAAGTTTGGACCACATTTTTATATATTCTTAACAAATTTTAGTGTTACATAGAATAAATCCCAAACCGATAAATCAAGGCGATCTTGCCTAAACCGGGTTTAGTCTTAGGCTCAGAGATGCATGGCCTCTACATTCTCCAGGAATATAGACCATATCTATATTAATTTTTCTTCCTCTCACATATCATCTTCTGTATAAGTACTTGGAAAGTGGAAAGCTGAGGCTTCTCGCAACCTATAAACCAAATCAAAGGAAAAAAAAAACACACACACGGTGCATCAGAGCATTATTCGTTGTATCACCTTATGCTATTTGACACAATACTTGTAGATAAACAGTGTGTTACCTTCAGACACAGATCTTCAGACACCATGGAACGGTACCTAATAGAACCCTCTAATGGGCAGCTTCCGCTTTTGATCATGAAGTTTGCATCACAAAGACTCGACACTTGAAGCAGAATATCCGACATCATGTTGTTACTCTCCTTGTCGTAACCAGTAGCTTCTTCTTCTTCTTCCTCTTCGCCAAATGAAGAGTCTCCTACAGAGGCAATGCACTGGAATATCGCCAATAGTCTCTCCAATGGAAAGCTTCCAGGCCCTTTCATCACTGCTTCCTGCTCTGCAATTTCCTTCTTCTCCATCGATTTCTCAGAGGCCCTGAGAAGGAAACACATCAGATTCTATTCAAAGACATCACGAGAACACACATAGAAACAATGATACTGTCTTTAAGAACTTACTTGCGCTTTCTTTTACGATTATCCATGCCCCCTGTGGAGTCAAACATCGATGCATCTAACGTTGCTGGGTTTCTTGAAGCAAGAAACGCCGCAATGAGAAGGTACTTAGCTGAAGTAGACATATGGAAGTCCAAGATCTCAAGTTCTTCACCGTTCTCAGAACTGTAGCTAGCTTTCTGCCTTCTCTCCCCTTTGGTGTCACCGTCATGAGGGCGACTTGAGACCCTGAATATCTCATTTAGAGAGGATGTAATATGCGGTTTAAGATTGCTATACAGCCTCCTCTTCAAATCTTCATTAGGTGAAATCGCTAAATCATCAAGCGGTACACAATACTTTCTGAACAATGATGAGAAGGTAGTGGAAAGTTCTTCAACTCTCCTTGTGACCCTACAGAAAGGTCTCAATACAACACTGTTTGACACACACACACACACACACAGAAAGAAACTGCATTAGCAAAAACCATATGTGTGAAGGTTAGAGAAATCATCATACACTATAGCCTTCTTACTCGAGAAATGCAGAGTATAATTTCTTGTTAACTTGAGTTTTCAAGAAGATCTGACGAAGTTCATCTTCAGAATACTCAGGGAAATAGACTGGTAGAGGGTCTGTGTATCCCATGTTTGAGTAATACACATCTGGTGGCAACCCACTGATAAGTATGATACCAAGTTGAGGCATCTTCAAAACCGAATACAAACTGAAAAGAAATTGAAGAATCATTGCTCCTTTGTCCCAATCTTTGATAAGATCCACATGATCAACTATCAAGTACAACATCTTCCCCATTGATTTCCTTCCGAGAGTTTCCATCACATCACTAAGCGCTTGTCGAAGCAAATTGACGAAATCAGACGGCTTGTCACACCGTTTTGCGCTAGCGTAACCATTTGAAGAACACTTGCTATGGAGCAGCAACTGATTCAGAATGGACTCAAACAAGAGACGAGGACTGCAACATGTACGGCAGCTTGAGTAAACAAAAGGGCGGTTGAGATGCCTGAACACCTGAAGAGCAACACTTGTTTTGCCAGTGGAAGCGTCGCCGTAGACCATTATAGGAAGAGAAGGGGAGTCTAAGGGGCCAATGAGACGAATCAGGTCGAGAATCTGAGAGCGTCTGCCTGGGAAGTTGGAGAGAAGAGCATCTAAAGTGATGGATTCTTCGCCGAATGTGAGGTCAGCAACGGTTGGTGGGTGGGAAGGTTTGGGTTCAGGGTTTTCATCAGTTACAGAAGATGCAAGTCTAATGCTTCTTCTAGTGACTTTCGAACTCTCCTCTCTCGTCATGTGTTTTTCTTTTTTACCTATGTCCAAAAGACAGAACGTAACAAGACACTGGTGAAACATACCGCACAAACAGCAAAGGAAACATGAGTTTAGTAAAAACAAAAAAGATTATTTGTACTTAAAATTGGTCTAGAACAAGTAGGAGTAAGGAGGAAGAGAAGCACTGACAAGAAACAAGATTATGCAAAATGGTAAAAGCACCATAGTAGTAGTAACCGTTGCAAATATGATGCAAAACCTCACTGAATCAGTACTACTTGTAACTAACCAGTCTTCACTTACGCAAATGAGCAAATCCTACGTATAATGCCCAAAAATTGAATTCGAATTCGTACCGTTTTTTTATCACGAGCGATTAGTGGGTGTGTCCTCTGATGTGATAAGAGGTGGACGAATTGAGAAAGAGCCGAGAAGATGAAGGTATGATTTTTAGGGTTTCTTTTCGAGGGAATCAGAGAAAAAAATCTCGACTTGAGCGAAAGAAGAAACTGTGAGAAAACCAACACCAAGTCGTGTCTTTTCAGTGAAAATAGAAACGACGTCGTTTGAAATCATTATCTTAAGTTCGCAATTAAAAGTTCGATTGTGAGAATGTTTTCTAGTATCGGACTATCGGTCTAATACTGTACTATTGTTTTCTTTCGAATTTATCCACTAAGTATCAGATAATTTCATTTGACCAAAAAAAAAAAAGTATCAGATAATTTCATAAATTTTTATATCATGCAATTGATAATCTCTTATATATTAATTGAGAAGCATTACAACATATTTTGGTAGCCATATGTCATCATGAGAATCTTTCTCAAATTTACTAGAGAAAAATATTGGTTCATATAAACATACTGTATAATATATTTTTTTATTAAACTAAGCATAAAACTATTATTAATGTTAATCACTATTTTTTCAATAAAAATTACAGAATTACCTAATATGGTTATAATATATATATATATATATGATAATTAATGATTTGAATATGAAAGATTTGATAAAAAATTGTATAACATTTACTCCCTCCGTTTCAAATTATATGTCATTCTAGAATAAAAATTTCGTTTCAAAATAAGTGTCGTTTTATAATTTCAATGCAAAATTTCTTGATTTTAAATGTCATTCTATTTTTTCATTGGTTGAAAAGTGGTTAGGTGTATAGATAATTGTGTTTTTATTTTGAAAATGTGTAAAATTAACTGTTTTCTTAATCTGTGTGCAAAAACATAGAATGACAATTAAACTGAAACAGAGGGAGTATTATTTTTGTTGAATTTTTATTGTGAAAATAAATTAAACAATAAAATTAATTATATAAAAAAAAATAGATTTTTTATATATGTTATATTTTTAATTTTTAAAAACGACTATAGATTAATAAAAAATTAAAAAATTTCACATATAATATTTTGATTAATAGTTTAATTTTTTTTATAGCACGATATACAAAAATTATATAATTAATGAATAAGAAATATCACTTAATAGATGTTTAAATTAGATGTATATATATATATATTTAGTGATGTTTAAATTAAACTAAATACTATTTAAAGTACATAAATATTTAATTCTAAAATTGCATTGAGCAGATATTGAGAACTTAATACTTTAATGAAAAAATTTTAATTTCATTTTTAAAGGATGATAGATTACTGTAAATATTAAATCATCACATTAAAAATGATGTTATCAATATTCAAAAAATTTTATTATAAAAATATACAAATGATCATAAAACCATGTAAGTGTGAAGCTTCATTTGTTAGATATCCAAATTAAGTATTATATATATATTAATATTATTTAGTAATTAGATTTACTTATATAAAATTATTGTAAATAAAAAATATTATTTATTGATTAGATTTAATAGATGTTTAAATTAATTGTATATATAATAGTTACAGATCTTTCAATTATTCAATATGTATATTTTATAATATATAAAAGAACATAAAATAAAGAATAGATATAAAATATTTTTTATATATAATTTTTATTCTGTGCATTTGCGCGGATATTAACCTAGTTACCATAGATTGCACTAACCATTAAGTGTTTTGATTAAAGTAAATGACCGTATTTAATTCGGTTATCGTATGTTAATTAACCGAATAAAAATTGAAATATTCCAAACCGTATACTTTCAGTTTGTTTTTGTCTCCACTCGACGCCTTCAGCACCAGAAACCACCTCTGTGACCGTCATTAACAGTATCCCAGACGAGAAATCAACGTCGGATGAGAACCATCAAAATAACTTTATACTGTATCTCCATCTCTCTCTCTCATCTACTTTATATTGTATCGTGATAGTATGGTGAAGAACGTTTTAGAACATCCACAATGGTGGACCTCTAATTGGGATCCTTAAACATTTAATTAAATTTTTTTTTTTTAATTTTTTGAATAGTTAAGGAATCTAATCATAAAAGTGAGTCTAATGGTGGATTCTATTTTAGAGTTCTTAGGGAAAAAAATTTGTATGTTTCAGAATAGTAAAAATAATTCCTCCAAACACTTCCAGAGACCAACAATACTAACAACACAAGTTCATTTAGACCGAATACGATAATCTAATCTCAAAGTTTAGCAAACTATCTTAATTAGACAACATAGAAAACAAATTAACGAAAACAGTTTATCAAACAATCGTAATCTCAACAGATACATAGCACATTCACAAAATAATGATTCACTAGGCCAAAAACACAAATATACCCAATTTTTGTCAGACAGAACGAGATCGTTTTCAAACCCAAAGTACAAAGATATCTTTCACAACTCGATTCAAACCGAAAACTTTCAACTTTTTCAACTACAAACGCAGATCTACCCAACTCGAGTAAAACCGAGTTCGTTTCAAAACGTAACTAGAAAATAACTTTTCGAACTCGAGGTAAAACACAAATCCGAACCATAGAGGCGAAGATATCAACATGCAACCTAATAGAAATCACATAATCGACGAGATTAGGACTTCGATTTACCTTGATTAGATGGAGATATGAAATCGTCTTTTCGTTCGCCAAAAGTTTTTTTTTCGTGTTTTCGATCTAATGATTTTTTTTTTAAAAACTCGGATAATTATTCAGACGAAGCCAATCAGCCCTCGCCACGTACACAAGGACTCGATCCTTGCAGGCCTTCCAGACGGACTGATCCTTGCCAATATGGGCCGAGTTTATCATTTTTAATTTCGACCCGCCTAGAATACCTCGCCAAGGATTCGGGAAAATACCCCGTTGCGGCTGGTCTTAGAGAATATGACAGTAATTAACAGTATCTCTATCTCTCTCTTTTTTTTTTTGTAAAACTCCTCTCTATCTCTCTCTCACCTACTAAAATAATGTCATATTCTCTAACACATCACTCCTCCTTCACACATTCCTTCCATGATCTCTCCGACCGTGTAAGTAATCCCTTTTACTTTATTAAATTTTTATGTAACTTTTTTTTTCTTTAAATTTTTATATAACTTGTAAACCATATATATATACTAGTGGTTTGTTCGCGTTTTGCGCGGAATGTATCTTTTGTTTATAAACAAATAGTATATACGTGTATTTTACATTTGTTTTCGATATTTTGAATTTGATACTAAATGTTTGGTTGATGCTTGAGATCTGTCTAAATAATTATGTAATTCGTGGAGGGGTAGAATAAATTGCTATAGCTCGGAAATGATTTAGATGATGTGTGTTAAAATGCATCTGATGTTTGCGACGGTTTATATTTTTGAGTATTTATTTCAGACCATTATAATAGTTTTGTTATTAATTTTTATTGGATTCAACTAAAGTAAAAATGATTATTTTATTATCGTCTTCTATATGGTATTGCATACTCCTTCTCTTGGTTTAATTTGATCTAGTTTCGGTTAGTCTAATCATAATTGTATATTGGGTTAAGTTCTAGATTTGGGTTGTATAGTTGTACCATTTACAAATCTGGATGTTTATAGAGCTTATTTTTGGTTTATTGGGACATGTTATGTGATGTTGACCGTTATGATGTTTTGTTAGCATACGGGTCAAGTGACTTGCTATTTTATTGTCAGCTGAATTTGAAAGCTCTTCATTTCAGTTTTGTAATTTATGGAGTAGATGTATAAATGTGCGGTGGTCAGTTATGTAATGATGATAGAATTATTTTGTGTCAATTGCTTACCTTTTATCTTTGAACTATGAAATTATATTACCGATGATATGTAACTGAATATAAGTGTATCAATGTATGTACATGATTGTTGTGAGAGCCTATAATTTTTTTTTGAATCAAAGTCGAAGTAAAAAAGTTGCAATAAACCATGTAAGTCTGTACAAAAATAGATTTTCACATCTGCTTGTAATAATAATATTTGATGCAAAAGTAGTTGAAATTTTTAATATGGCAGTTAGGTGGGAGTTTGTTGTCCTGAATTTTTTTTTGTGATTATTGTTGCAATCTCAATAACTTGGCATAGAAATGCGAGTTCAATTAGTTTAAGTTATTCGGTTCAGACATAAATCTTACTAAATTAACCCAAAATAAAATTTGGGTTGGTACTCTGTTTATTTAGTTTGTAAATTTATTCAAAAGTTTTTTCATTTTGTTTAGATTTTGGTTTAAATTTTGTTAAAAGTTTAAGATAAACTTGGTTAATTTTGCTTCGTTCGGTTAGTTGGGTTCCAAATTTGATTAGTAGTGTTAGTTTGATCGGCTTAGTTCTTATGTTGGTTTGGTTATATTTTTTAAAAGAAAACTAAAGTAATTGAATGTGTAGAATATATCTTGGCATTCGGATCTTTAGATGGGGTTCGGATTGGTTTCTGTTGAATCTGGATCTTTTAGGTATAGAAAACTCGGATTAAATAGGTACTTGTGATTTTTTGGCTAGATTTCAGATCGGTTTTTACTGGATTCAAATAACTTAGGTCAAAAATCAGAAACATGTCAAAAATTATTAATTTTGGACTAACGGGTACAATTCTAGATTTCAGTTATTTTTGGTTCATTTCTTCGATTTTTGAGTATTTCAAAGAAAATTTAACTCAAAACTCAATTTTTAACCTGATTTTTTCAACATATACCGTGAAAAAGGTTGTTAAATCTATAGGAAAAGTTGTTAAATCATTAGAAATAAAAAAACAAAACAATATAAACCCATAACACTAACTTTACAAACAAACATAAACAATATTATATAACTCAAATCAATTATATTAGTTTTGAAAAATCCAACACATGCTTATTCTATAAAGATTTCTAATAATAAAATTGTATAATCTTAAATTACTAAAGTCTAACAAATTTAATAAATAAAAAATTCAATTTCTAACCAAAAAAAATAAAGCGCAATCAAAATATCATTCAACAAATAATATCATGACAAATGTTATTTTTTGCTTTTTGGAGATAAAAAGCCAGTTTTATTATATAAGACATATAAAAGTATATATAATTTCTTTTTGCCTCCACCAAGTTTTAGATTTTAGTGATGATTGATGCTCTCCAACAACTGTTTCCATCTCCAAGGTTTCAACTTTGGACAACAATCGAAGCCTGTTCAAGCTAAGCTGCGTGATGGAGAAAAGCATCGATGAAGATACACACTCTGTAGTCAACACCACATATGATTGCTTAAATGGTTCATACTTCATAAAAAGCTTTTTCTCTCTTTTCTTTGATTGATTACCCTTTGGAATCGTATTGTTGTTGCAGCTATTGATATAAAAGAAGAAGCTAGTGTCTCTACGTTACTGGTGAACGTGGATAATGAATTTGATCCCTTTGATGCATTGAGCACTCCCCTTTACCAGACTGCTACCTTTAAGCAGGTACTGGTTAACCCAGAGGCCAGAGCTGTGTGGAGTTGAATTAACGTTTTGCTTACGGTTTTGATCACTTTTGCTTTCAGCCTTCTGCTATCGTAAATGGTCCTTATGATTATACAAGAAGTGGAAATCCCACACGGGATGCATTGGAGAGGTACTAACTTCTACTTGATCCACACATAGGCCATTTAGACCGTTTCTCATCAAAGCTTTCCTCTATTATATGGTTTCTGAAGTCTCCTTGCGAAACTTGACAAGGCAGATAAAGCTTTTTGCTTTACTACTGGAATGGCTGCTCTTACTGCTGTTACACACCTTCTCAAAACTGGTAATTGTTGGTATTGATTGGCCTTTAGGTTGGTCTCATTGTAGTATATTTAACTTTGTTTCAATAGGGGAAGAGATTGTTGCTGGAGATGATTTATGCGGTGGCTCAGACAGATTACTATCCCAAGTAGTTCCAAGATCTGGCGTTGTGGTCAAGTTAGTATTACTACTATCTAGTAGTTGTTCTATAAGACCATGATGAATTAATAATTCCATTTGATGGTATTGTAGACGAGTAAACACAACTAGTTTAGAAGAGGTTGCTGCTGCTACTGGTCCACGGACAAAGCTTGTGTGGCTTGAATCTCCAACCAATCCTAGACAACAAATTTCCGATATACGAGTAAATTCTCTGTGGATACTGAAACTTAACTTTTCAGTAGTGTTTGATTTGTTTTATGGTTTGGTTGGTTTGTAGAAAATAGCTGAGATGGCTCATGCTCAAGGTGCACTTTTGTTGGTGGATAATAGTATCATGTCACCGGTGCTCTCTCGGCCGTTAGAGCTTGGAGCTGGTGTGTTAAAAAAAACAACTCATATTTGCTTACTATTGGTTAGAATTTATATTGAGATGCACTCGTGTTGAACTTGTTTGGTTTTGTAGATATTGTGATGCACTCGGCTACCAAATTTATAGCTTGACATAGTGATGTGATGGCGGGTGTCCTTGCTGTAAAAGGCGAAAAGTGTGTGTTCTTATACTTTTCTTTACTGCTTTCCACTGTTTTGAGATGTTTTTCTATTGCACATACTCATTTGTTAAAAAAATTAGATTGGCAAAGGAGTTGTATTTCCTCCCAAACTCAGAAGGTTCTGGATTAGCTCCTTTTGACTGTTGGCTTTGCCTGCGAGGAATCAAGACAATGGCTTTACGTATAGAAAAGCAACAGGTCTTCACTTTTAACCACCTCTAATTACATATAGCCAATGGATTTGTGTGTTTTCTCTTACATTAGATGGTGAGAATAATCAGGAGAACGCTCGGAAAATCGCAATGTACTTGTCTACGCATCCAAGAGTGAAGAAAGTGAACTATGCTGGTCTACCAGATCATCCTGGTCACCATCTCCACTTCTCTCAGGTACTAAAATAGTATCTAACTAGTATAGGAAAGAAGAGAGAGTTAAATTTCTCTAACACATGATTGCCTCTTTTCTAAAATGCAGTTAAAGGGTGCAGGATCAGTTTTTAGCTTTATAACAGGATCGGTCGCACTGTCCAAGCATCTTGTGGAAACCACCAAGTACTTCAGCATAGCTGTCAGTTTTGGTGAGAGTCAAAATTCTTTTGAAGAAGCTGTAAGAGTATTTGGGATAGTTTTTTGGATTTTGGTTTCATTCACTTCCTTCTCTTTGGTTACGGAGTGTTAAGTCACTTATAAGCATGCCATGCTTCATGTCACATGCAAGCATACCTGCAGCAGTACGCGAGGCCAGAGGCTTGACGGAAGATCTTGTTCGTATATCTGCAGGTATTGAAGATTCTGATGATTTGATCTTTGATCTTGATATCGCCTTTAATACCGGTCCTATAATCTAGCTTCCGGAAAGAAGCACTGTTTATTCTACTCTCAGTTTTATTTTCATAGGTTCTTGAAGTAAGAATCTATGTAAGTAACCATGAAGTGGTTGAGAACACATCAAACAAATAAACTCCTTGTTGTTGGATTAGCGTTTATTCCAGCTTGTATTAGACTTCAAAGCCAACATGATTATTACAATGCAAGTACAGATCTTTCTTCAAAGTAGAACACAACTCTCAACAAGATGGTTGTTCTGTTTACAGATAATAGAGAGGACCCAGTGAGCAACTTGTCCTTCAATTCTGTTTCAGGTTAGGTAAGAATAAGAACAAGAACATGAAACAAACCATGACATGTCTACATCAGAATATACCAAATTTGTCATTTTTGTTCACAGGACGGCATGTACTTGTCTTTACATGACAAAATAACACTGTAAACTGAACTGAAAACTACAGTTTGCAAATAAAGTCACAGATGGCATTTCCAGATAGATAAGTTGAGTTTTTGCAAATAAAGTCGCAGATGGCATTTCCAGACAGATAAGTTGAGTTTCCTTAAACAAAACTAAAAAATAGTGAACAAAATTGGTAACTGAGTTATTTACTGATGACATATACACATTATCCCCATACATCATCATTGATTCTTTATCATTCATCTATATTCCATTCTCTGCATTCCCTATTAAAACCATGTAATCAGCAGAAGCATCCCTACAAAACTCTAAAATCAAGAAACCAAAAAAAAAAAGAAGCATCATGGCGATAGAATCAAACAGCTGTTGTGATACCCTCAAATCTAGGACGTGATCTATCTGTTGATAGCCCTTCTTCCACCGACTTCCTCTTGTTGCCACTCAATGTTTGCTCCTCTTGTTGGACTACTTGCAAATGAATTTGTTTCGTTTCTAGTTCTGACTTCAGAGGCAAGCTTTTGACCTCTGGTTCAACTGCTGCTGCTAGTACGGTTCCATTTTCGTCTTTTGATGGCTTTTCAATCTCTTCCAGCTTATGGTTCTTCAACTTTGTTTTCATCATAAGAGGTTTCAACTTGTTGAGATCAGCCAATCTTACTGGTTTCAAGAAAAACTCCTCAGCTCCTTCTTCTAAACAACTGTTCATGATCAAAGCATAAGCACAACCTGAAGAAGCACACACTCAAAAACTTTCAAAGATTCAATATATCATTGTTTCTTTACCTGCTGATCCTTGCGGGAACATTCTCAGAGGACATTATTACTACTGGTATGTTATTAAAAGCTGACGATTCCTTCAAAATTACAGAAAAACAAAGTTTATATTAAAATTCCTGGATAAATCAAAAGATGTTATCAATCAACTGTACACATCAAATAGCATAAAGGAGATGAAATAAAGGGAAAAAATATTCCTAATTGACATTCTCACTTTCTTGATTATACAAAAAAAAACAAAACAAGTACCTTGACTTTCTTGAGCAAATCATAACCAGTCATCCCTGGCATACAATAATCTGTAATTATAAGATTCACTTCCACTTCCTGTCAAAAAGTCACAATCAAACAAACTTCCACTAGACAAAGACTTGTAAACTTAACACTGAAGTGATTATTATTTTTTTAAGAAAGGAGCAAACTTTTCGAACCTGGTGAAGAATTTCAGGAGACGTAGAAACTGCATCTGGGTCGTTACTCTCAACACTTTCTCTTAAACCCAGAAACTCTAAAGCCTTATACGCTGAATCAACAGTTGTTACTGCAAAAACACCCAAAAAAAAAGCTGAGATCTTTCTTCGATTCTTACAAGCTACAAAGACATTATTACCTTGACACGAAGCCTTTTGAAGCAACCTCTCTATAAATTTACGATCGAATAAACTATCATCAACAGCTAATACGTGAAACTGCGGTTCTGCTGCCATACCCATTTGTAGAAAGCTTGAAGATCCAATCTTGAACCCAGATGTTAAGTCTCAGACTTTTTCACAACACATGATGCGAGGAGGAAGATGAAACAAAGGGTTTGAGCTAAAAACAAGATCCGGTTATATGTTTACTTCTTCTCACTAAATCATATGCCGAAGAGAGATGGAATAATCAATAAAAGTAAGTTAGCTTTGAGTTGTGGAGAAAGCAAGTTCTGATAAAAAAAAAGTTTTTTATTTTATTTTAAGAAGACAACGCAGAGGTTAAGAAAGAAACAAAGGAGTAATAAAATAAGCAGAACAAATCTTTTCTGGCGAACTTTAAGGATTATGCTCGGTAGTATATCATACGAGGAGGGGCTTTGCTTTATATCCACCACAACCGCTTTGCTTTTACACCAAATTTCAAAGATAAGCGGACAAAATATTCGTGAATGTAAACCATAAGGTCAGTAATTTTCGATTATTATACATTTCAATGGTAATCTGTTTTTGAGTATAATGTGGTATAAGGACACTTAATCGGTCGAGTTGGTAGATTTCAGAGAAAATTATTTTCATATGATTTTTTTCAGTTTCCAATTACACAAAATTTCAGAGAAAATTATTTTCATATGATTTTTTTTCAGTTTCCAATTACACAAAAGAGCAACAAGTATTATTTTCATATGCACTTTTTGGGTTTCCAACTAATTACACAAAAGAACACTTGTTGCTGGAGACACATTTCTAATGAATGTATTATTCATTCCGTTCATTTTTATAAGTAGTTTTAGAGAAATGTTTTTGTTTCGAAATATAAGTAATTTTCAAATTTTTAGGCAACTTTTAAATTTATTGAATATAATATGTCTAATCAAATAATACTGACCTATTTATGATTGGTTTAATTATATTTAATTTAATATACAAGTGTTACTTTATAAACAATAATAAATTGTTCTTAATATTCGTGCATTCAAATAAAATTACTTATAAAAAGAAATAGATGGAATATCTCTTTTGCCCTTAAACAAAATCAAAACTTATTTTTGCCCTTAAACAAAATCAAATTTTTTTCTCTTTTTTTGTTTCTTTTAATTATATTTTCTCTTTTTATAGGATAATTATTATAGCCCAAATTTTTTTCCAATCAACAATAAAAAAAGAGTGAGTTACACATAAAGACACATTATATCTTTTGTTTACATATAAAGACACTATCTACATTTGACACACTTTTTGTGTAGGGACACCATTGTTCTAGACAGAAATACCCTTTATTAGAGAAACAAGCATCAATGTTTGGTTAAAAATGAAAGAAAAAAAAACTAAATAACTATTTATCTATTAGAGAAAATAGGTTTATCGATTATAGGAAATAAACCATATCCAAAGACTGAAAAATGATAATACAAAATCTTAAATTGTTGATAGTGATTCGTAGCTCATCATATTTGAGTTTTTAAAAGATAAGTAATATTAGCTTTCTTTTCTTCTTCATCAATGAAGGTGTGGACAGTGAGTGACATAGACAGGAAAATTGTAAACAATATTATATAGAGATTCGTTCTACCTGTTTTGTGGACAATATTATACAAGATTTTGTAGACAAAAGAAATGAAAGCTTTCATGGTATCTACGATTATTTGTTAATGTTGGATCCCCATATGAATCACCCATTCTCAACGCATTTAACATATACATCAGTGCTTCTTCAAATGCTTCTTTCTCTGGGTGTTCATTTTAAAGAGACTTGGAAAAACCTTGTGAAAGAAATGTGTTGCCTTTTTGTATGTGTCACCTGAGAAGTTTTTGCAGAAACATTTGTTGTCTACGGATCTACGAACTTGATCTCGTTCATCAAATCGCAACCTATTTGAGAACCAAAATCCACGCATAACTTATCGCAACTCTCATGTCCACAACAACAGTATCCACAGACATTGTTGTCACACCAATCACATCCACAGAACTTTTATCCACAGCAGCCACATCCACACAACCTTTGTCCACAACCTTTGTTCACAACAACCACATCCACAGCTCACATAACCCCAACAACGATTTCCACACACTCTCAGTCAGAATAGCTACACATACAAAATGGTGTTCAACGGTATCAGAACTTACATATCTAACTCCAAATATGAAATATCATTGAAAGGTGAATTTGACCAATAAAGATTTAAACTTTGAGTAGCTAGAGGATAAGAATCTACAAAAACTAAGCATGAAACTCAGAATAAATTGAATTTCAAAAAAAAAAACTCAAAAAAGAGAGAGAGATAGAGATGCTGCTAACCAGAAGAAGAGGTGCTCTACCTTCTCCTGCACCAAATGAATAACAATTGAGCCTAGTGGATTTACTCCCCGTATTCATGTCTGTGTCGGAGAGCTTCATGGGTTCTACAATAGAAGGCTGAGCATCTTTGGGACTGGGTACCAAGAGAACAAGAGAGAGGCGTTCCAGTCCAATTTTGGAGAAGAGCGGAGGAGATCCAATTGAGCAGGGGCTCTTTTGACTCAGATTTAGCCGCACCGAGTAAGGAAGATTCTGCCATTGATGAAAATTGAAGATACAGAGGAGGAAGAAGACGGAGAATGTTGAAGTTAGAGATGGCTGGACTCAGTGGAGAAATCCAATCTGTGGACAGAGAGGCACATTGGAGTACAACTTAGGGTTTGTGGATTTAGAGATACGGTCGTTCTTGTCACCATAAGCACTTATCGTGTGTTAACCATCCAAGGCACCATTTTTTTTATGAGTTGGTTACATAGAAGGGCACATTTTGTCTTTGGTTTACATTGGGAGACACTTTCCACTTGTGGAACACTTTCTTGTGGGGTCAAGAAGTTGATCTGTCAAAATTATCTTTATAAAAAATGTGATGTTTTGTTGGAAAGAAAAACCTAGTTTCTTTTTTTTTTTTGTTATTATTTACGATTAAATAATTTTGTTGCGTTTATGTTAGGTTTATTGGAACTCTAGTTTCCACTCTTGGATTAAAAAAATCACTATTAAATCAAATGGATGACGCTTTCCACTGTTGGATTAAAATTGTTACTATTAAATTGAATGGATGAGATTAGATCTTAAAGGGTATGTTAATATGATAAAGATATTATTTAATCGCTGTGTTCAGTGGTTGGGGGTGCAAAATTACCCTTGTGGATGGTTGAGTTGTGGTTGGCTGAGTTACATGGATGGGTGATTTGTGGACAGATGATGTATGGACAGGTGATGTGTGGACATATGATGTATGAACACATAATGTTTGGACAGGTGATGGAGCAGCAATGGGGTTTTGGCCACCCACGTTTTAAACTGGTTCACAGTAACAATCCTCACTCACCATCACCACCAGAAAAATAATAGACATAATCTTGGAAGCAAAATGTTGTGGACAACATCCAAAAATATGTGGACATGGAGAAGTGAAAATTCGTAAAGGAAGCTCTATAAAATTGTAAAACCGATAGCTTATCACATTGATAGAAATGTGATAGAAACTATTTTAATTTTTATTATTTTAAAAATATTTTTACTATTCTTTATTATTGTGTTTCTAATATATAAAAACATAGATAAATATAAAACATGCATATATATATATATGTATTTCTTTGTTGATGTTTTATAAAATTTTATTTTATTAGATAACTTTATGGACGCAAATAGTATGGATATGAATTTTGTTAATAAGAGATTTGTTGTTAGGGGTTAAAGCGTATAATTAAAAAGTATGGGACGAAATCCAGAGAATCTATAAATAAATTAAAAATGTTCGGTCAAATTGTATATATCTAAGACTTAAAGACGAGATGTGTAATATAGATGACCTTGACCATTGTTGCTTCACGAGGTTCTCTGTGCAACAGAACTCAACGACGAAGTCTCCCACCAGTCGCCACGGAGGATTCAGAGCGTGACGACACTGCAAGCTACTGTTACGACGATATGAGGTCTGAATATTCGAAGAAAACGTATGGATCTTGCCTAATGAACCATTTTGTGTCTTTCAATTTCTGGAATCCAACCACTGAATCAAAATAACACAAAATTATTTTTTCAGAAAATCGAAACATGGGAATAAAACTGAATCAGAGAAAAAGCAATAACCAGTGATCTTAAGGATTTGTCGATGAATACCCGACATCATTTCTGGTAAATTGGACTGACAAAATCTCATTGAAAGGGAAGGAGAAAGAGGGAAGACATTCCAAAATTATATACTCTTTGATTGTGAGATTGGATGAACGATGTTGTTTGCGGTGGATCATCGTTTGGTTGTTTGGATCGTATGTGCTCACCGACATTTTAGGGGAGAAAGAGATTCAAAACACTAAAATGATAACCAAGCTTATTTCTCTCTCTCTCTCTCTCTCTTGTTTTAATTTTCTTTGCACAAAAACTCAAACTTTTAGAGTTAAAGGGTAGTAGAGACTTTACACAATCAAAAAGTATGTCTCATGTTGTAAGTGCCTTAAAATGTAATTGAAATCATGAAATGTGTCTCTGAGAGTAAACAAAATTCAAATTTAAAAATATTATGTCAATATTTTTCGCCGTGTTTATAAAAAGAATATCTTTCACCAAGTGATTTTGTCTTTACGTCCGATATGTTCTTCTAGATTTCCTCTTGACTTTCTCGAGATATGCTGTAATTTTTCCAGTCTTGAAGTCTTCCTATACGAAATTCATCCAATGGTTTAAAGAGGTAATTCTTAAGGGGTCAATTCACAATTACTAGACAACAACACCAAAGCAGTATAACTCATGGCTAGTGACACAAGATTCTCAAACTAAGGCAAGTGGTGTTCCCTTTAATCAAACTCAGGTTTCAGAATGGGGAAACAACACATTTTTGGTCAGATAATTGGACCCCTTTTGGGGATCTCTACATGCACTTATCTCTCGGGCAGCCACTCACGATTGGGAATACCATTCAAGGCAACGGTCTCCTTCTTATGTCCCAACGGCTCCTGGGTCCTCCCTCCAGCTCGAACTAAGGCGCAAATCCAGCTTTATGCCTACATAACAACCATTCAATTGACTGATAATCATGATTACTATGAATGGGAGATAAATGGTCAAACGTACGCTAGTTTTAAAACATATATACTCTATGATTACCTTATGGAACAACGACCTGATGTATCTTGTTTTCGTGATGTCTGGATATCTAGGCATATCCCACGTCATAGCTTTCACTTGTGGTTAGTGGTCCAGAATAGAATCCCACAAGAGACAGGCTGCTTCATTGGGGAATACAAGTAGATGATCGATGTCTGCTCTGTAATGCAAACCAAGAATCCAGAGATCATCTATTTTTCTTGTGTAGTTACAGCTATGATATGTGGAAATTAGTGGCAAGAAGGCTCCAACTCTTACCTCTTAGAACTTGGCCTGATATACTGGAGCAGATGACTTCGCTATCACCACCAATCTCACAACGACAACTAATCATGCTGGCTTGGCAAGCAACGGTGTACTGGATTTGGCATGGGAGGAACACCAGACTCCATGCAAGCACTTTTCAATCAACTGATCAGATCTTTCAACTGATAAATCGACAACTGAAGAACAAGCTACAAAGCTTCAGAGATCCAATCCGATTCGTTCCTCACTCATGATGCAGAGCTGGATCAGACTAGAATGAAATACATCGACTGCTCCGTAAAAAACCAACGATTTTTCCTCTTCAACCTTCGACAACGACTTCTTTATCATTTTTGGGCTTCATGTGTAATTCTATGGGCTTAACTAATATTTTTACTCTCTTTGGGCGTACAAACACTAAAGCCATTGGCTTTTGTAAACATTTTAGGTCTTTGCAATTTACAAAAAAAAAAAAGATTTCTTAAACAAAAAGTTAGTTGTAAAGAGAAACACTAAAAAGACAGTCTCGCAAATAAGAAAATTATGACTTTTTCTTTCTTTAATTTTTATTATAATATTTACAATCATCTAACTCAACTATTTTCTTAACACTAATCAACTACCAAAATTTCGTAGCAGATATATGCATCATATATCAAATAATAGTATAATACACGTAAGTACCTATGTAACTTGTTGACATAAAAAACTATGTAACTTTTTTTGAGCAAAAAGTAACTATGTAACTATAAGAAAAAAATTGCACAAAAAAAACTATAAAAGAAAAAAACTGGAAGTGGGAGTCCATAAAGAAGGGGCCCATAAAATGAGGGACTCATTCTAATGTTTCACCAAAATATGTATAAGCCCGGCTCTGACACCAAGTTTCTACAGATTGCATAAGTAGATTTCAATATTTATTTTTGATTGATCCGATTTTTTTTCATTAGAGTCATTTTTTTTGAGAGATGATGCATATATCTGCTACAAAACCCCTGCGTATTTCATGACCGGAAGCGGTATTCACCATCAGGCACGTCTTCTGACTCCTTGAGCTGTTGTTCATACTCTACCGTGGCTGGTTATATCAAACACCATGCATCAACAGGGGCCGATGCAAAAAAAAAAAAGGAAAAGAATTGGGACCAGAGGCAAAATATTTGATAGAAGATATTATTCAGATAAATATCTAAAGGCTCAGTCGATAAATAGGCATGAAATTCAAATGAAACTTTTTTTTTCTGTCAACTCAAATGAAACTAATAAGAAAATATAACTGTTGATGTAGTACACGTCTCATCCCTTTTTGAAATAACATGTCACTTAATTATATCAAATTTATCTCAGTTAATTCCACATGTCAATTATCAACTTTATTAAAGCTTAATTAACGTTTGCTGATTTTAGTGAACATTTTCTTGTTGTAACTCATAAGCATAAACAACGACCATGTAAAGCCATGTTTTCATAGAATTTTAAATTATTAAGCACACATTAAAAGTCCGTAAGGAGCATATGTCGCATAACAGAGGGCATAGTTTCACTTAGGCCAGCTTAAAGCCACGGGGCTTCTAACCACGTGTCGGCCATCTGACCACTCGATTCCCCCAAAGCTATTGGTTCCCGAAGGCATAGACGGATTCACGGTGAACGTGACCGTATACGACTTGTTCTCGTTGACTTGTTTAAATTCTAAAACCTCCGGTTCGACCGAGATGTTAACCGCTTTTTTATCAGAAACGACTTTGACCGTGTACGTTCCGGCTCCTCCCACGCTCGTCACGATGCGCGTGTACCTGTACGCGCCGTCTCCACCTCGTGAATGGTTGTGGATTCTGACGGCGAAAGAGGGGTAATTGAAGTCGGCGATTCTGTAGTCCTTCTTCGGATCACAGGTGAAATCGCGCCTCGCTATTATCTTGATCTGTGATGACGTGTAATCAGAGGCGCATAAAAAGCCGAGGTAGTCCTCCGTCGTCAGATCGTAGATAAGCCCCGGAGTGAGTGCGGATACAGGTGAAACGTGTCCTGCACCGTGTACGAACGGCGTCGACGGCTTACGGTTGGCGCTGTCGAGGATAGGCTTTCCGTCGTTTCCAGATCCGTTGGCCGTCGTCATGAGAGCAGAGCGAAGTGCGGCGGGGCTCCACTTGGGATTCGCCGCCTTGAGCAATGCGGCTAATCCGCTCAGGTGAGGACACGCCATGGAGGTTCCCGATTGGATGCTGAAACCCGGTCGGAACAAGTCGGGGTTGGAACCGGATCCGGTCCACGCGGCGATAATGTTGACACCTGGTGCGATCAAATCGGGTTTCAGAATCTCCGGCGTGATGGTATTGGGACCGCGAGAACTGAACCCGGCTACAACCGGCGACGGTTTGACGTTAATGACCGTTCCCTCGAATGTAATCATCGCCGTTGGATTAGACTCTTTCAGTACGTAATCTCTGATCTCGTCTCCGGACTGCTTGTCGACGGCGAGTGAAGGAAGCACATCGTATCGAGCTATAACCTCTATCCCGTCCAAAGCCGTGTTCGCGTAGATAATCCCAAGCGCGCCTGATTTAGTGTCAACCACCAAGTTTGCTCTTCCCATATCAACGACTACGATTTTGCCACTAAAATTCCCGCCAAGTGGCGCATAAACCAAAGGGACTTGGTTAATGGTTAAATCACTACGACGCCGTTTGAACAGCATTGAGAATCCCGCAAAGGATCTGCCGTTTCCAAGGATGGCCATCGCCGGGAAATCTCTATCCACTGTTCCCGCTCCAACTGTGGTAATCCAGGGAGCTACATTCACCAACGATGATTTGCTTGGACCGTCGTTTCCCGCAGAGGCTGAGACAAAGATTCCTCTCTCCACTGCTGCTAATGCTCCGATAGCAATACTGTCTTTGTCATACTTCAACATGCCTAACCCGAGAGAGATGGACAAGACATTGACCTTGTCTTCAATGGCCTTATCCATGGCTGCTAGGATATCAGATCCCATGCAATACCCTGAATACCAACATGCCTTGTATATCGCGATCCTAGCTCGTGGAGCCATTCCACTAGCCACTCCCGGAGCATATCCCAGAAACGAGGCCTCTTTCACCGCAGTACCAGCTGCAGTCGAGGACGTGTGTGTTCCGTGGCCATTGGAGTCCCTAGGAGATTTGAAATCCTGTGTTTCATCGATTGGGAAGTTCTCTGCCTCGAAACCCTTGTACAAGTATCTGGCGCCAATGAGCTTTTGGTTGCAGAGAGACGCGGTGAAATTTGTTCCTTCTTCACACTCACCTTTCCAACTCCTTGGCGCTGGACCAAATCCCTTATCGTTAAAACTCTCACTCTCAGGCCACACTCCCGTGTCGATAACGCCTACAATGACATCATCGCTAGAAGAACAGTTACTCGTGAAGTATTCCCGTTGATCATCAAGCCCGAGGAAGAAGGGGCTTCTCGTCGTCTGCAGCTTGTAGCAAATCTCTGGAACAACTGCAACTACTTCAGGGTGGAGGAGAAGAGACTCGACTTCGTCCGGAGTTAGACGAGCCGCGAAGCCTTCGACGGCATGCTTGTAGGAGTAAAGAAGCTCCGCTGAGATTGAAGCTTTGCGGATGAGGAGTTCATGATACGTGTGTTTATCCTCCATCACCGATGGCATTGGAGCCATATGAACGATGTTTGTAACTCTTTCAGAAGATGCGCACATAAACATCAAAAGCAAGAGATAGATGGCACTAGAGAAAGACATGTCGTAGAGAAATGCGAAGATAGAAGCTCTGTTTCGATTAAATAGAATGAAGAAGACGAAGCTCTGTTTCGTTGAAAAAACAGAGGGAATGATTAGTTTTTGAGTTACATTTAATTAAAACTTCAAATAATAGTTCTTGTCAGACGTAGAGCACTAACATGACTCGCGTGTTATTCATATTAGTGAGAAAATGCTGGAACAGTATATAAAAGTTGATGTATATCTATTTCGAGGAACATTTTTGGATCTATTATCATTTTTTACTAGTCTACAGACTAGGTTAGTGAAGTAAAGCAAAACTAGTAAAGGTTACAGTTAGGTATCTCGACCTCTCATAACATTTTTTTATGTTCATTCATCCGCTTGCTTATGTGTGTTTGTTACTCGCGCACAATCACAAGGATCCTCCATAGGAGAAGCTAGGGGTAGGCACTTTACCTGATACTCGAACTCGTACCTAATCCCGACCTGAGATATCCGAACTGAAGTAACAAAATATTCGAACATATTGAATTAAGAGAGATTAGATATCTGAACCCGACATGTAAACCCGAATGGATATCCAAAGATAACCGAACATATGTATATATACATATTTTATTCCTAATTTATTTGTCTCATTTTATTCAAAACATTTATATTAGTATTGTATATAACTTAAGATCAGATAATATACATATAATTCTAAAAAAATGATTTGCTACTCATTTAAAATGCATGTTAAGCTTCTTATTTCATGTTTTAACAAAAGTTGCATCCAAAATTTCAAAATAAGAAACAGATTAATGATTTTCTATTTTCAATAATTTATTTTCAAACTTATTTAGTCGTCTAACTTATTAAACACTAAAAACAGTTAAGCTAATAGTAAAATTTCAAGTACATGAAATTTGAGCAATGAAGAACTTGAATTTTTCTTTCAAAATCTAAATATTCGAACCCGACACGAAATAATTGAACCCAAACTAAAAATATCCGAACCTGACTCGATATCTAAAAATACCCGAATGGATACTAGATCCCAATACCGAAATATTTGAAAATCTGAAATACCCGATCCGGATTCGAGTGGGTACTCTTGAATGCCCATCCCTAAGAAAAGCTCTCAAAGATTTTGAATTTTATAATAACAATGGTCTGAGACAGGCCTGAACCCATTGTTTGAAAACATTTGAGCGTGGTTCCACATACAAAGTGACCCAATTTTTTTAAAAATATTATATTTTTATATATTAATTCATATATAAAATACAATAAGAATAAAGTAAATATTTTTTTGATAAAAGAGAAAGAAATATTTTTGTTTACATTTCTTTTTAATTTTATTCAAATTCTTATTTTTGTGTATAACTTTTTTATAGATAAATTTATAATACTATAAAAAAAATTGGAATAAGTCATCATATACTCAGATCCGGCCCTGATTCTGGTCTCACAAATTGTCAAAAAGCCAAATGCAAAGAACTTAAATAAAGAGGGACATAGAGAAAAAATAATGATATACAATCAATATTACTATTTTTTTAGAGCTTTTATGGAAATGGGTTTTAGCTGATCAACAAGGCTCTGTATATAGGGAGAGCTTTTGAGCGAGAGGAGGCTTTATACCTCCTAGTAAGTGGTCTAGGATCTATTTTCTTCTTCTTCATCTGACATGGTCTCTCCTCCAAACTCATTCATTAGCTTCATGAAACAATAATCAGTCTCTTCTTTTTCCGCTTCTCCTTCATATTCATCTCCATCCATCAGCAGCTGCACAACAACAAAAAACCATTCTTAAAAATCCATAACAAACATTATATCAGGAAACAAAAAAAAATAGTACTAACATCTTCACTTGTGAGAAATCTTAATCCTCCATTAAGATCTGGAGAACTTGACTTAAACAAAAATTGCCCATCAACTTCAAAAGCAGGAGGTTAAGGTACCAACAAACCTCCAGCATGATCAGCAGATATACGTTGCCTTCCAATTTTCAGTCTCTTCTCTCTGCTTATGAGCTGTTGTATGAGCCATCATCATAGACGGTTCTTCTTCTTGTACAAGAGTATGTAAGATACCAACCTGAGTCGTAAAGTCACTTCTGGATCGAGCTATTGTTCTAGGCATCAATGATGCATGACCAGCCTGAGACTTGCACATCAGCTCATCAACACGCTAGCTTCTTCAATCCTTTTGCTTTCTCCTGCGCCTCATCTATCTTACACAGTATCTCTCCTTGGAGATCATCAGAAATGTAATTCAGAAACAAAACAATCATCTTCACTTTCATCTTCACTTCCTGTAGTTTTGCGTCCTGCACCAAAACCTAACATAATAGCAAAGATTTAGTCTAAAACATCATCTAAATTTGAGAAACTAGAACAATGTGTATAAATCTCACCACGAACAGGACACTGAGGTTTATTAGTTGTTGGCTTCCACTTCTCTCACCGATGTCCTCGACATTTTGGCTGTTGGAAACCCGCAATTGGAGGAGATGTTGCGTCAGAGACAGGAACACAGAGGGCTTCCAACCCAACAGCCTCCACCATCACAGTCACAACCGGCAACCAACTTTGGAGAGGAGGAGGATTTGGTGAGCCAGGACGATTTCGTTCGGCAATTTCACGAGCACCATGCGTAGTTTTTTTAATTTGTATATTATGAATTTTAAAACTTAATTGTATATTATTTAGTTATTTATAAAATATTTTGTTTTTTTATTTTTTATTTTATAATTTGATTTTTTTTTAAAAAATATATTATTTATATTTATAATTAATATTTTTTTAATAGGGAAAAAAATATTTTGAAGTAATGTCCTCGTAAAGGTTTCGAAGTAATGTCCTCGTAAATTATTCTAGTAAGTTCCTCGTAATGTATTACTACGAGCTTACGAGGAAATCATTTACTATGACATTACGAGGAAACTCTACGAGGACCTTACGAGAAAAGCTAACCACGCGTTTACGAAGAAAAGTTTCCTCGTAAATTAGCTAGGACCTTAGGAGGAAAAAGGCTTTACGATGAACGTGTTTCGAGGAAACGTGTTTCCTCGTAAGTTCCTAGTAAATGGTCATTTACTAGGAAATAACGAAGAAAAATCGTCCTAGTAATGGACGAGTTTTCTGGTAGTGTTTGTTTTATCTTGCTAACGTTAGACTAACTTCTGTCAAAGTGAATATAGATTTAGACAGATTTTAAGAAACTTAGATAATTTTTTTCAGTTATAATTAAGCTGAGCTCGTATTTGGCGCTGACCATTTGTTCGGATCATATTTGGCACGAAACACTTAGTTTTGGTTGAAAGTGGAACTTTTCCCAAAGATAAAAAAGTTTACTTGATTTATAAATTTACTTATAAAGATATGGCTTTATGCTTGAAATGACAGAATCTCATATTTCATGGGTTTGGCTTCGTAGCCTTATATTATGTATTGGTTGTATTATCATATTGGTTTTAATATAAAATTATGATGAAAAAATAAAATAAAATAAATATCTTATTATCTTATCATAAAGACGAAAAAATTGTTTACTATAAATTATGTCTATTTGGGCTCGATTTATGGAATTTAATCAATTGTCTTGTAATTGATTAAATTTTCTAATGCTAAAGTCAAACGATTTTTAGAGTGATATTCAAAAGAATCAAAAACGTACCTAATCTTAAACACACTCTAGTAAAAAAACATTAAAAACTGGAGCATGAATAACAAGTCATAAAACTAGTCATTATTACAATGAACTCATTCCTTTTAATTCTGAAAAAAATTGTTTTTAGTAACAGCTCTTTAATTGATTTAATATTCGCAACCCTCTCTCTATCTACTATATATTGACTAGCCAAACGTGAAAAAAGAACACCATTTGGTTCAAGTATTGGTAACAAACAAGACAGAGAAATATATACTAAAAATGAGTGGTTGTCTGGTCCACCCTTTTGTATGTGAAGGCTGTGATTGTGCTGGTCTAACATGTCAAAAACG